ATATTTTATTTCAGGGGTTTCTAAGAAAATATTTTTGGAAGATATTTTCATTCTGGGTCATTAGTGCAGTTTTCACTTTTTGGAGGGGCCATTATGTAATTAATGAAAGTTATTGCTAAATGCCTTGTTTTGAGTCTGGATCATCGTACGGGATTCATTTTCACCTTTCATCAAGTCGTGTATTCTTAGAATTTCCTTCTGGTTGTTTTTCTCCAGTTTTAGGGTTTTTGGCTTTAGTTGCCGTTGAACTTGTTCGAGGCATATCTCTCTACTTGGGACTCAATTTTTTGACGCTATTTCTTCCGTAGTTCATATTTTCTCATTTTGGTTCTTTTTTGTTCACAGAGTTTTGCCATTTAAGCGCATTTGCTCAAATTCCACTTTTCCGGACCCGAGGGGCCCCTTTCGGGGCACTTTTAGGGTTTTTCTATAAATAGGGGGCCTTTAAGTGAAAATTCATATTTCACTCTCTCTTTCCCCTCTCTTGGCCGGATTCCATGGCAGCCAAGGGATGCCACCTTCCCTCTCTTCTTTTGAGCTTCCTCCCTTCAATAAAAAGTCATAGTGTCTTAGTGTTTTATGTTCATCTTGGCGAGGCCTTTGATTCCCCCGATTGGAATCTCGTTTTGGCCATTTCTTGAGTTCAGGTTTGAAGTCAAGTTGTGATTTTGATGGAGCTTCCTTGGGGTTCTTGTTCATCGTGTTGTCCCCGACAAAACCTAGAAGTTTCGTCGGATTCAGAGCGGTTTCCTTTTGGTGGCTTTTGAGATTTTCATCTCAAATTGAGGTAGGAGGTGTTTTAGGATTATGTATGTGTTGTATTGAGTATTTTTCAAGATTATACAACTTGTTTGCATGCCTTGTATCAAATCTAAAAATTAGCAATATTTACTTCTTCGTATCAGATTAAATTTACAAGGATGTATATAGCTTAAAATTGAATTGTGGCATGATGATAAATCATGATTTGATATGTTTATTAACATATATTAAATTGGAATTATTTGAATAAGAATTGCACTTTTTATTTAATAATTATCTTTTGTGAAAGTTTAATTCTCATGGATGTACCTTGCATGAAATTACCTTGTGATGTGCTTTTAAATTAAGTCCTGGCATGTTCTTTAAAATACTTTAATTTGAGAGTATTTGGATGAGTATGAAAATCTAGAGATTTTAATTAAACGAATTAATGTTAAAATCTATTTTTATGGTTCCATTGGCTTAATTAAGTTTTTAACTTGATATTTGAAATGACTATGACTTGTTTACTAGCATATATTAATTTGGGACCATTTGAAGTTGCTTTAGAGGTTAGAGATTTAATTATCATGATTTAATTAAATTCTACCTTGTTGTTCCATTGGCCTAATTAAGATTTCGAATGGATGCATGTAACGACCATGCAATATTGTTTAACATGTGTTAATTAGGGATCATTTGATTGAGATATGAAACTTAGGGAAATTAATTAGTTTATTTAATTAATTTCCGTTTCTATAGCGTTAATGATTTAATCATGTGTTTGACATTGGTTATATGTGTAAATCATGATTTTGGACTTATATTAGATTCATGAGTTTATGTTTTCAATGTTGAAATATATTGTCATAGCGTGTAACGAATCGCACACTGAAGATTCGACATTTGTCATGCAATAGTAGTTGTGGATTTAGAGCATGTATTGTATGCGTTTCCAAATTTGGTTGTGCGTGGTAGATGGTTATCTTGTATATACTTGTTGATATATATACGTTGTTGCATAACTTTTTGATTTTGGAAACTTGTGGATGTCATTGTTCAGCTACGGCTAGGACATGGTTCTAGTACGGGGGATTGTCCCTCTACAGTCTAAGGCACACATAGGGAGGTTACCCATGGGTTAATAACCCTAAAGTAACTATGGTGTTGGTCGATCCGGCGTGATGTCCAAGTATCCACTTTATTTAATTTTAATTTTCATTTAAGTTGATAACTATATGATATTGTAACTTCTTGTTACTTAATTGGCTTCCCATTTTGAGCTTCAAGATGTTAACTTTGAGAAATCATGCTTTATGCGTTGTATTGGAAGTTCCAATGTTGATTGAATGACATTCATATTGTGATTTGTGTTTTGATGTTCAAATGTAACTTAGGAATGATCCTATAGATTCATTAGAACATAGACGTTAGATGGCATGACCTACTTTAGTAGTTTTCATGTTTTAGATTTTAAGTTAAGGACTTTGAGAATCTATACCTCGTTGCTTTGTATAACAAGCTTCTATATTGTTTGAATTGCATGAATGATGTGATTTATGCTAGAAATGTTCTAAGGTAGCTTAGAATGTTCCCTAAGTCTCACATTGACATAGACGTTAGGTGGCATGAGCCCCTTTAGCATGTTCCACCTTAAGGTGATAAAATTGTAAAATGCTAGGTCGATGCATGCTCATTTCCTACAAGTAGCTTTATGTTACTCACCCCGAAGTTACTGGGGATATTTTTTAGGTACAGGATCAAGGTTGAGATTCTCATTATGCATGGATGATTTGTGAACTTGAAGATTTCCATTCTTGTAAAGGTTGGCTTGAAAAGCCATTTGTAGTCTTATGTGTCAAATGTGTGCCTAAGCACACTTTTCGATTCTCATTTTATGTATATGACATGAGGCCAAGGGCCAAACTTCTTTTGAAATTACATATATGTCATGGATGTTAAATCTTGCCTTAAATGAGAATATATGAAAAATCATGCGTTTTAGTATACTCTTTTGCACCGGAGCGTGCATTGTATATGAAATTCATCTATTAGCATTCAGTAATCATGCATGAAGTGTGGCCAAGGTCCAAATGGCATTTTGAAACCATTTCATAATTTTGAGTTCCAAGTTTTCCATTTCAAGTCCATGTTCGCCTTTTTGGCCGTTGGGGGATCGGATTTTGCATCGGTGGTATTTTTAAGCCATGGACCATTGTAGAGCATCCTATTAGGTAAGTTATGTTTGTGTGCATGATCGTTTTCATGAAAAACTTCTTCTTTGGTGAAATGAGCCTCCTATGGACTTATTTTCCATTTTCATTGCATAATCTGGTTTAAGAGCATTTTTGGATTTTCCTTCAGAAAATAAATTCTGATCTTCAAATGGTCACTTAGAAAACGTGATTTTAAGGGGAGGGGGGGTTTCTTCATTGTGTTTTTTCAAAAAATGTCGTCTTGGTGCCCGAAATCCATCGCAAAGTTCAACTTTCAGTTTTACATTTTAGCAGCTTTTTGACCCTCATGACCTAATTTCATGGAGGGGCATTTTGGGCATTTTACAACGAGTTTTTTTTTTTTTTTTTTCATTTTCTTTCACGTTGTCGAGTAGAAAACTCAATTTTGAGGAGGGTTTCCTCTTTGTGTTTTTCCAGAAAATGTATCTTGGCCTCAAAAACCCATTTTTTTCCCGAAAAACCCCTACTTTCAGCTTTTTGCTGACCTGTAGTACAAGTGTGAGAGTAGTAGGCTTCTTGTAACTGGTTAAATCACTTGGGGCAAAATGCGAACTCTCTGTTTTGGCCTCCTAACCGGTTAGGAAGGTTTGGTAATTGGTTAGATGTGCTTGGGTTGGCTCCTTTTGACCTATTTACCTCTGTTTCTTCCATTAACCATATCTCCTTCGTTCGGACTCCAAATCGAGTGAATTTTTTTTTGAACTTGACTAATTTTTCATCGTCTTTCCAATGGTATGCTCAGTAACCCCCACTTTCACCTTAGAAATTACCATTTTTCCCCTAGGTTCATTCTTGTCCCTTTTTGAAACGTCGCTTCCGCATTTGTTTTCTTTGGGTTCCGTGACCTCATTGAGGGTTACATTGGTGTCTTAGGGAGGTGTTGTGTTTCTTGAGGCCATTGTTTTATATTTTACTTCTGCACTTCGGATCCGTTACGGTCAACTTTATGGTCATCACTAACGCACCGAGTTGAATAAAAACTTGGGTCATTACATGAAGCTTAGTAGTGACTCTAAGCCCCAAGACCTCTCTCCTATATCTTTTCCCTACTTTCTAGATTACTCTTTTTACTTGCATTAATCTTTAATTGCATTGTAGTTTAATTAATCAATCACCAATCAATCTTTGATCATTCAACCTTGACGGTGGCCGTTCCTATATGCCAAAATAATGTAGTGAATACACGGTTCAAGAAAAGTCTTTTGGGTCAAGTTTAAATTTATAAAAACCACCACTACAACTACTACTAACATAGCAAGGGTGAGTAGGGATCGTTCCAAGGGATTAGAAGGCTACTAGTAATGGAAACAATGCTTAGGATTAGTAGGTCGAGTGATCAAAGGTAGATTATTTGGTTGATTAAACTACAATTAAGATTAAACAAGCTCAATATAAAACAAGTAATTAAAGGATAGAGAAAACAAGAGAGAGAGGTCTTGGGACTTAGAGATCACCACTAAGCATCACCTTTCTATATACTCAATTCACAATTAATGAGGGGGGAAACATATGTTACAACAATAGTGAGTGTGTGTGGTTGTTTCAATAAGTATGGATGACCAATTAAGTATATATTGTGTAAACAACACAATGAATAGCACAATATATCAAACTAAACCATTAATCCTTCTTTAAGCTCACAATCCAAACACATTACATAATTAGAGAAAAATACTACTTGCATTCATAAGCGTGGAACATCAAACAATAAGCATGGATTGTCCCCCCATTTAACAACTAAGGTAACTACACTACGTCTAAGCTAATGACATGAAAATTAAACTAATTAAACTAAGGGAGAGGCATAATTCATCAAGAAATGAGTATGAACAATCAAATAAACTACAAAGCATTCTATTAAGCACTATGTCTTGACAATCTCTAGGTCTATAGCATCAACACACATAGACATGCATCAACAACACAAGAGATAGAGATAAACATATGAACATCTATTCTAGCATACATAAACATATGTATAGAATGAAATGATCAATTGGAAGAATTAAACCACACAAATCATTGAATAAACAAGATCTATGTATATAAAGATGTCAAAACATGTATTACAACACAAATCCCCTAAAAAATACATAAATCAAGGTAAAGAAAGTATGCTTAGGGCTAACTCTAGCCCCAAGAGGGTGTCTAGCCACTCATGGATGGTGTCCTCCAACCCTCAAGGGCTATCTCCATGGTAGAAATACTCTTCTTCTTGAGTTAGATGGAAGACCTCTCAAGAATGTGTCTCTAGCCTCCTCTTCTCTTTTCTTCCTCTCTAAGAATAATAAAAAATTATCTCTATCAATTCCTCCAAACATATGTGTAAAAGTGGCTTATAATCCTTATATAGGTAGCTCAAATGTCAAACCCAATGGTCTAGGCTCGTACACAAGGGCTTCTCTAATGATTGCACCATGAGACAACTTTTAATGAGCTGGAAATTGATTTAATTCGCACTTGAGAGGGTTCGATCGATCGAACCTATGCTGAGATCGATCGAAGTTGGCTGAGATCTATCAAACTTTGGCTGGATCGATCCCCCATGGCGGCGCCTTTTTGGATAAGGACAGATTTTAGATATTTTGGGGAAAGAGACAAAAGTGGTAGGTGGGGTGGTATAACAAGATAAGATGAAATCTTTTCGATCGATCTGAGAATTGTTGGATCGATCGAACTTTGTGGGATCTTTGGATAAGGGCAAAAGAGCTTGGATCCATCTTGGAGAGTCTAGATCAATGAACTTTCGATCGATCGAAGTATTCTTGAGATTGATCGAACATGCTGATTTCCACACTTTGCTTCATTCTGCTTCCACTTTGCTCATTTTTTCCGTCCAGCTTGACTTTGCTTCTTTTAAGCTTTTATTTGGCTGAATTAGCTTATTTTGGGGATAAGTACCTAAAAAGGACAATAACACGAAATTAGTCTAAAATGGGAAAGTAAGATAGATAAAGGTCCTAAAATACCTAAGCTTAAGGGGTTTAAATGCGCACTTTTCAGCGCTCATCACACCCCCAAACTTAAATATTGTTAGTCCCTAGCAATGAACTATAAAGTAAAGGAATGAAATGAACAACTATACAGGTATGAATCTAGAAAGCAATAAATGGATAATGCCACTTTCGTAGGGAACACGATTGTATTTAGCATATGCAACAAACCTTTTAAACCCCTAGGTTACCCCTAGTGGACGAGTAAAGTCTCGTGAGAGTTTCCAGAAATGATACCCACAAACATTAAGCTTTTTCTCACTAAAGAGGCACCAATATTGCAAACAAGCATTGGGAGAAAACTACCTCAAGTATGCAATTTTTCAACCATTTCCAAGCAATCTCCCAAAATCTCTACATCAGGTAAGCAAGTATGGTCCTCCACACATCAAAAAAATGATCATGCAAATCAAAACAACACTAGAATCCTTTTTGAGTGGACCGGCATTAAGTACGTTGCTATCTAAGCTAACTAAAGAAAGGATCGCATCCTTACCCTCAAATTAGCACACAAATCTAGTCCCGATCATTAAAACAAAGAATGGACCTTGTATTAAAGTTTTATTGTTCTAGGTGCGCTTATTCTTTTCACTCGATTTTTTTTTTTTTTTTTTTTTTTTTTTTTTTTTTCCCCTACGGATCAAAGATGGAAGTATGGTGCAATGTGTTGATCTATTAAGCTTTCTAGTGATCCATGAGGTCGAGTGTTAGGTCAATGACTCCCAAACTGGACGGCTTTAGGGTATTAAGCATTCAAACACCCCTAAGAATTTACAAGCTCAAATCAACTAGGCTACAAATCAAAACATCCTCCATCTAATCATTTTGCACTTCTCACCTTTTGGGAGAAGTCCTCACTTTTTTATTTATTTATTTTTTATTTTTAGATCCAATTATTAACCTAGAGTTTGGGCCCTCCACTTTTTGGCGCGAGAAATTCAATGCCTGATGAGGCTAGAATCCCGGCTCCTTAGTGAAAAGGGGTTGTTATCCACCTTTATCAAGAATTAAAGCTTTCAATGCAGTACTAGCTTAATTGGGATATATAATCAAATCAATAATTAACAAAGCATGTACCCCACAAATGAATGCTAGTGTGCACCTGTGCTAGTGTAGAATCTTAAATTGAATCTCAAAATAATCACAAAATCAGGATGATGTGCACCATAAGTGCAAGTAAGATATCAATCTTTCGAAAAATTTACTCCGAAATGGCATCCACAAGGCATACAAGGAGTATTGAACTCTCAAGTCACAATTTTTAAATTCAAAGCAATATAGTCCTCAAAAGATCAAAATCATAGCTAGTTATGGACTAATCATAGACAATCCCTCAAATACACAAGTCATGCTTAAAATTTTGAATTGAAAGCAAATACTGCAATTAACACCATTACCCCCAAATTTAAATGGCACAATGTCCTCAATGTGCAAAGAGAACAACGGAAAGAGTATACCAGTGTAGCTATGGCGAAAAATGGCCGAGACACAAGTATCCAAAGTGGGTGGTATAACCCCCCCAAACTTTGAATTAACTGTGGTCCTGAAAAGATGGCACTTAGATAAAACTCATTAGATAACAAAAGGGATAATAATAGTGCGCAGTGGATATGCAAGTGTAAATGGGACAAGAATTGAAATAAGGAGAGAGGAAAAAGGGTGGTCCTGAAAATTTGGGCAGCACTCTCTCTCACTGAAGTCATTTGGATGCACCTGATGGAATCAATCACAGACAGATATATCAATACAAAAATATGACATCCAAAATATAGCATGTATAGAAAGATAAAAATAATGTACATCACAATGTCTAGGCAAACAGACTGGCCGCAAAAATATCATAACAGTAGCAATGTATCACAGATATATGAAATTAAGGTATAGAGATAGAGAGATCATGAATATCATACTGAGGAGGTAGGACGGGTAGGGCGCGCTCCGCGGATATCTCGGGATATATCTCGCAACGCAGTCATGACATCCGTACGAAGAGATAAAATGTCAGCTCGGATAGAGATAATGTCCGCTCGGATAAAGACTACGACATCCTCCAAAGCCTGGATACGCTCTCCAAAGTCGGGTGTCGTACTAGAGTCTCAGGTACCACTGGATCAGGAAAATGATGTGCATCCTAAGCTTGCTCTGGGAAATGTAATGGTGACCCCGCTGGAGAGCGATGTGGGATCTCCTCTGCTGGAGGCTCTTGCTCCAAGTCAATGTCCATATATACTGCAGCCGCCGGTGCGACTGCTGGATCATCTGCTGCTGCTGCTGCTGCCATCTCCTCCTCCTCAGCCTCCTCAGCTGCTATCACAGTGTCCTCCATAAGACTCTAGATAAGAGCATTGTAGCTCTTATTCTAGTCTTTCTTGCCAAAGTGGCAAGCTCCTGTCTCTAGGCACTCATATGAACGGAATGGATAGCGCTAATCTCGCAAGCTCTGAGTAATAAAGTGGCCAAAAGGAAGGTACTTAGCCCTCTTGAGCTTGGCCTTGCTGATGTAGTCAGCGTATAGCTTCATCATGATGCTCCAATATAAGGCCGGAATAGAAACCCAATACCCTGTGTAGAAAGCATACAAGGCAGTCAAATAGTCACCTCTCCTCTAAATCTTGTGGCCGGCCATAAACACATTTCGGTATAAGACCGAATCGAAGAACCACAGATCATTGAGCAAATAGTTCCGAGTAGCAAATGTCTCGCCCTTACTGCAATGGTCTGTAAGTGCCACAGCCATGTCTGCATAAGAAGGCCTCCTCTCCAGAATGGGATAATCGAGCTCAAGATCAAGAGGGCAAACATGTGGGCATCGGTAAGACCTAGCCAGCGTCTCTACTATAATGCTGATAGGATGGCCATCAACCATAGTGCGCAGCTCTGCCAGATTACTCAGGGCAGGCCGGAGGTTTAGGAAGAACATCCGAACAAACCTCGGGTAAACTGGGTATGTGACAGGGGCTAGAATAGCTAAAATGCCCCTCCGGTCTATATCCTCGTAGGCTGCCCAGGTCAAAATGTACCGGGAGAAGAAAAAGATGTCAAAAACTGACTCATGCGCCACTTTAAGGTGTGAATATCTGGGCAGAGGTCTGTCTAAGGCCTGGCCTGGCTGTGTATGAGGCGGAGATGGAGAAGGCGATGGTGTATGCTCAGCCTCATCATGGGATAATGAAGATGTAGAGGCTAAAGACTGTAGTCTAGAGTCAGCTGAGGGGGACTAAGCTGGATCTGCCTCGATATAATCCTCTAACTGCTCCGACTGCTCAGCCTCAACAAGCTACTCTGAATCCTGGACATGGGAGGGCTCTGCCTGATGCTCGGGCTACTCCTAAACATAAGAGGGCTCGCCTGCCCCCCTATCCTGGGCCTGACTTAACGTGGATGATGCCTACGGGCAACAGTCTTTACCCTAGCCATGGCCTGCAAAACAGAAAGAAAAACACTTACAATATAAGTTAATACCGGCATAAAGAAATGAAGTACAATATATAGAAACTTGTATATCAAATAAGATAGACAACACAGAACATGAATCTATGCAAGTGGCGTAAATAAACAGTGACATTAAGTGAAACATGCTAAACACTATAAGTATGGGATGCATCCAATGTGGAAAACACAGGCATTGGGCATGTATGAGATAGCATAGAATCACAAAAGAGAGTGTGTGAAGTGTAGGATACAAATCTGTGAAGTTCGATCGATCATAAAAATGTGAGATCGATCTCTATGAAATTGATCTGAGATAAGTTCGATCGATTTCTGAATGATCGATCGAAGAAAACTTTGATCGATCGAACTGGTACGGGAAATTCGAAAAGTCACAGATCTGTGATGTGGATGGCACGGGGGCACCTAAGCAAGCTTATGGGGCCCTCTCACATAACAACACAACAAGATTGGTCACTTGTTTTGCCCGTGACCCCCAAAATTGAATTGAAAACGAAATATATACAAAAACCTATATACATATATATATACGTACTTAAATCTTCAAAAATGGAAAGAATTCAGGCATAATCTCACGAGGCATTGGAGCATGCCGTAGAAAACTTTTCTACGGCGAATTTAGGTATTCGTAAGTAATATAAACCATTCTCACGACTTGCCATGTATGCCGTAAAAAAGTTATTTAGAAGGATTTTCACTTATTTACAGGATTTCAAGCTCCCCGTAAATAAAATATATATACATATATATTTTATAAATAAAGCACCCTCAATTAATGCTTGTTAATCATCCACTACCTATAATTCACATCACTTTCAGCTATAATTCAATTCAAAAAACATACATATCTCATTAAATATATCAAAAGAGTTAAAATATTTTTACAATTCATCATTTATCAATGTGCCAAAACAATTCAACATTTATCAATGTTCAAAACAAGAAGTATATCCATTTGTCAAGAAAATCATCAATTTCTGAACACTTCTGTTGAAAAATTGATAAACCTTCTAGCACTTGAGTTTCAGTCTGCACTTGTCAAAAAACCACCTCACTGTACAAAATCCAAGGAAGTAGCTGCAAAATCCACAGTACAAAATCCAAGAAAGTAGCTGCATCACATAAGTTTCAAATTCAGAAAGTTAATAAAAAAGGAAAATAACAAGATTGTCATTTATGAATCAAACACAAACATTTTGCTAAGAATTTCTTATATCATAGATGGTGACTAAAATCTTTTAATGTGTGAGTTGTGTGACTAACAACTCACAATCTTTTAAACTGTAAAAGTCAGTTTCAAAGCTCAATCTTTGTTGGAAAGGCAACAAAAGAGAGACCTCATTTTTGGCAAGGGGCTCTGAATTTTGGAAAGAAAACCCCATTTTGCAATGGAAACGTGTCAAACTTGTATCATGACTTTCTCACTAAATTTCCATATTTATTCTATGAGATACTAACAAACATAGAAACTATTTATTGTCCACGTTCTCTGAAATTTACAACGGGTATGGTCTTTATCTACTAACATTCAATTCAAGTCAAAGAAAATGCTTAAATGTAGATCGTTTTTAAACATTATGTACACACTATGACACTACTATATTTTCTTACTTATATTCAACTTCACTATGTGAAACTGATTACACTAAATTTAATTGTTGCTTTTCGTATTTTCCTAGAACTAGTGTTGTCAAAGCAACCCACATGCATGTTGATTGGTGAGTGATGAATGTTTGTGCCTCCACTTATATATTCACGGATCATTCACATGACTCCAGATATATATAGACATATATATATATATATATATATATATATATGAATGTGTGTGAATATATATTTTTTAAGTTAAATAAAAAGAAATTTGCTAGCATCAGACCTGTTGGAAATTGAAATCTTATTGAGCAACATTATGAGTTCTTTTTTAAATCAATTCTATCATGTGTTGTTTGGAGATATAAAAAACCAACAATATTTGAGTCATCTAATAAGTCTAATATGAGAAGCGATTGCGTAACAAATTTCAAATAAGTATTCATACACATTTACAAATATCTATTGTGGAGCTCAGACTTCTAATCTCACATTCCAAGGAAATATTTATATCAAAATATTTTTGACATGTTTTTTTAATGATGTTTTGGGTAACACAAATCAACACAAACTCAATCCAGCTTGCTTGTATTTTATTTTTTTTTATTTTTTTTTGTTGTTTTGGATTGTAAAGCTAACACACAATATTTTTTTGACTTAATTGGTTGAGTAACTATCACTGAATTGAATAAAACGTGGAAACCATTGAATTTTTGGTTTCACATGATCAAAAAGTTTTTCTAATTAACCAAGATGGGATGGGCGGTCTGTGGAGCCCTTAGTCTGGTCCAAAAAGGGCAAACCTTTATGAACAAACATCTTTTGTGGCCAATGTCTTTCATGTATTTATTAATATGGTGTTTAATTAATTGCATAGACTTATTCTCTTTAGTTTTCTACCAAAAAAAAAAAAGCATTTAATTAAGCTTTTATATATTGTTCTGTACTAAGTTAAATTTTCTTATATGATCCCTACTAAGGGCGGCAAGTCGTGTAACGCACATGACATGAGTGCTCACTTAGATTATCTAAATTATAGTAAAGTTATGCTGACTTATAAGTTTGATTAATTGTTTGGGTCTAAGTCAATGGAAATGAACAAAATGGATGATAAATTTGTTCAAGTATAATCATTGTCGGTGTGGTGATTAATGTGTGAGTTGTGTGACTAATCTACCATTTGAAATCTTAATGAAGTTTAAGTGTCATAGATTTTGTTACCCTTCAACTACCATGACAAGTGGACAAGTAATTAATTAGGTTTAGTCATGTACTCATGACACCAAATTTTCAACAGTCCAAGTTAGATACCAGGGCTTATCTTGACTACATTCTCCTAATTTCCTCCATCTTTACTATTCTTGGGCAGGTTGCCATGTAGGAAACACCAAGAAAATTTCAATACAAGTTTGGTATATTTTTCTTTCTCTCCAATCAAAATCTCTGTAATTTATTGTTAATTGATGTGAAACGTATCTCTTTATCTTTTTTAACAAGTGTCAAACTCAAACCCAAATGCCACTCAAATTTACTTGTCATTGGTTTTAACACTTGTTCCCTGAAAAGGAAAATAATAATAATAAAATACATTTATAGAGAATTATGAAGATTTTAAATACAGTACAAAATCAAAACACAAATCCAAAAAAATATATATTTTTTTCTTTTAAAAGTTTAAGCAAACTCAAACGCACATACACTTTAACATCTCAAACAGTACTCAATCTCGTTCATACCATCCCTAAACATTGCCCTATACTTTCATGGGTTAAAAATGAGCACTCTTGACAGTAAAAAAATATAATGTGTGATAAAAGTTAGAAAAAAAAGGAAGAAAGATTTTAGTCTTCATCCATGATATAAGATTATTATTATTGTTATTTGTGTAGTTATCAAGTGCCCCTAACATTTCCAACATGTCCATGAAGCTTGTTTTCATCCAATGTTTCAGACATTTTTCTAAGCTTCCCTTCCACTGGTAGCAAGTTTTTTCATCCGGTGTTTCAGCCATTTTTCATAAGCAAAGTAACCTAAGTTATGGCAGCAAGTTTTCCAAGTCCAACGAACCTGAATATTTTTTCAACATATGTGCTATGTTAACAAGTCTTTTACACGTTAATTATCCATGGATCAATAGAACCGGCCATATATAACTAAGCAATTACCCTCCAGAGAGGGTATGGGAAGTGTTAATTTAAAGGTTTTAGTATGATATTTTTTTAGTCTAAATCCTTTTAGATGTGGGATGCAACATACTTGTGTGCTCAGGAATGATTTTTCTTGATAAGGCCTGATTGAAATAAATTATAATCCTGGGATTGGTTCTCATTATCTCTGATGATATGTGGTATGTCTGCTCATTAGTATAGGGTCATAAATAATTAGAATATGGAGAAGTCATTCTCCAATTTACCTACAAATATTGTTCTCTAATTTAAGTAAAGGTATAAATAACATATCAACAACTTCTTCTCCATAACAATCAATCAAAACCTCCACATACGATGATCCCATACTCCCATGCTTTCAACATTTTAAAACAAGAAATAAAAATACCCTCCACACTGGCCGATGTACCAATAAAGTAATAAAGGTTAAGATACACCGCAAAATTGGTCACTTAAAGGCACATGACCCCCCTAAGTATGAGTATAAAAAGCATTAAAATTGTGCAATATGAAAGAGGCATAGTATTTGACCTTTGTTGTAGACTGGAATCATAGAAATTCTGATTCTTCTGCTCCTAATGAACTAGTGATAATCAATCCTGTCAGAAAAAAATATTTCAAAAATGTAATGCCAACAAATACATAAAAAATCAGATTGTATGACTAATTTAAGAAATATAATAATAAGTAATAATAAGTTAATGAATGACTAATTGACCTGAATAATTTTCACACATTTCTTAGGCCATACAACCGAGCTTGTGTTAGCATCACGAAGATAAAAATTTCCATTTAGGCTTGCTCAATACAAAGGACAATCGTCGACCAAGATACCATCAATCCATACTTTCCAACAATCTGGACCAATTGGAAAATGATCTTCTAACGCATTAGGATCCGTTGCTGCAATCTCAGCCTTGGCAACAACTACACCTGACCCATTCCAGGTCATTCCTGGTAGAAGATATCAAAAATTTGGAGTTCAACAACAATCCCCTATTATTATTAAAGCTTCTCAAATTGAAAGGCAGGTTTTTTGAATCTGTCATATTCTCTTGGTGTTCGTTGCAAGACCTGCTGCAAATGTCTAGTCTTTGAACATTGGCTTGCTAAAGATCATCTACTTGGTTTAAATGAGAGGGGCTATTGTGTTTTTCTTCAGCATTTCTATGTGGTTTCGCCTTTTATTTATTATTTCAGCCTATCTTGTCTTTTAACCCATTAATAGGCCATGTCTTATTGACGACCAATAATTCATCAAGCTTGCATTCAAGCTAGGAAATACTCTAGTCGATATAATACTATGAAAGAAAATTTTAAATCCTTTTCATGGTCATTGGCCAACTGCAAACATAATTAAAAGACAAGGGCTATAATGATAGAGGAAACATAATCAAATTAATAGAATCAGGGTTCTCATGATCTAAGCAAACATTGGCATATGTTAGACCTTGAAACAAGATCTTCTATGGGTTGACTCAAATTAAGTACAGTGTATAATAATACACCATAGACAAAAGGTGACATATACTTGGATTTTTTTTTTTTTTTTGACACCAAACGAAACACCATATCATTAAAGATGATGAAAGATTTAAGTTGAAATTAAGAATGCTCCACTTGAAATGAGAACATTAGACTGCAAGAGCTTTTGGTTCAAACAAATGAGCTATACTTGGATCATTCAAGTGAAGCTTGGATGTAATAGAAAAAGTGCTCTGATTTGGGCATATAATAATTTACAACTCTTTTTAACAACCAAACACAATCTTTTGATAGTCACCCGTTATCATTTGAGTGGCGGGAATAAATGATCAATTAAATTAAAAACAACATGTGTAACAATTTGCAATAAAAAAGTAAAAGTGTTTTTTAGGTACGCCATGATTCATTCACTTGGTTATAGACAGATGATTCCAATAATCAAAATCAGGGTTATTGACATTTTTTTTTTTTTTCCTGAAGAAGCTATATCCACCCACCTTTTCCTAATCACTTTCAGTTCCATTTGCTGTTTCCATATTCTCCAGCCCTTCTAGCTAGACCCGATCTTTCGTGTACAGTGGGCATCTTCCATCCGGACTTCATCTCAAAGAGCTAGAGGTGTTTGTACCACTAATTGCTAATCTTGACTATCCTAATATTAATTGTATGAATTAATTATAAATAAAATATTCCACTTAGATCAATTAGCTCACTATTATATTCAAATTAAGAGTTATTTCTATATATATAGAAACTTTTGTTCACCATTCTAGCCAAAATGTTAGGCAATTATCATATGTAGCGAGCTGCGCACATTAGAGAAGGATTCACGTGTGACTTAGCTAGTCCCAGCATTTCTACCAGAATGTTGGACCTGAATATCACAACTCACATAATAGAAAGTGCTAAACCTGAATTCGACATTGTGAATTAGGAAATGCTGTCCGTCTCAGAATTGTAATCAGAAAAAAAAATAATTATAATAAAAATTAAAAAAATTAAAAATAAAAAATTGAATTAACACCGATCTATAATTTCAATTTCAAGGAGTGTATTCCATATATCATAAATTGTAAAAGACAAGGGCTATAATCAATAGAGATTCAAAACCAAACTGAAAAACATCATATACACATGTAAGTATATATTTATACACATTTCTTATAAATGAGAGAGATTGTGGGTGAAACATAAAAGGAGAGGAGAGAGAGAGCTGGGTTTCCTCCTCATTCAGATTCTCACTTATTGAACAAGCAAACACCAACAAGACTTTTCCTTCCTAGAGACAGAGAGACGACTGTGTATTTTAGACTTTCAGTTCAATATATACACACAAATACAAATACATGTGTGTGCGGGCGCAACTATGTGTCAGTGTGTACAACTTATGTGTGAAAAAGAAATTCGACATAGATAAATTAGGGTTGCTTACCGATCAGACAAAGGGCGAGAGAGGTTAGAGAAATTCAAACACAATCTTCAGATTTCGTCTCTGAGCCATGCGTTATCATTTAGGGCTTAGGGCTTGCCACTTGCTTCGATCGATGGCCAACTGAAAGAGGCTCATGGAGAGAAATATTAGGTTTAATTGAAAGAGGGAAAAGAAATATCGCTGGTGACCGCTCCCCTCTTCTTCGTCACTGCTCCCCTCTGATTTGTCCCTCCCCTCTTCTTCTGTGTTTGAGGTTAATGCGAAATGTGGATTAGGTTTATTTATTTATTAATTTATATATATATTTTTAAGTGTAATTTTAATGGTGTCCAATTGGAGGGAGGGTAAAAAAATTTGGTGGAAAGTCTTACTGATTCACCAATAAAAAATAACCCTTATATATTATTAAATATCCACGAGGATTTTAAAAAGCTGTTAAAAAATAATAATAATAAAATAAAATAAAATTTTAATTGTGCCCGCCAAAGAAAGTGAAATTTTAATTGTACCCAATTTGGCGGGAAGGTAAAAAAAAAAGTGGTGGAAAAACTTATTCACAGGACAAAAAATATACCTTAAATGTTATTAAATATCCACAAGGATTTTAAAATGCCGTTAAAAATAAAAAATAAAATAAAATAAAGTGTAATTTTAATTGTGTTCAATTTGGAGGGAGGGTACTTATTCACGGGACAAAAAATATCCCTTAAATGTTATTAAATATCCACGAGGATTTTAAAAGGCCGTTAAAAAAATAATAATAATAAATAAATTAAATAAAATAAAGTGCAATTTTAATTAGGCCGAGTAAAAATTTACTTATTCACGGAACAAAAAATATCTCTTAAATGTTATTAAATATCCACGAGGACACTAAAACGCCGTAAATGTAATTTTTATTGTGCCCCTTTTGGCGGGAGGTTAAAAAAAAGTTGGGGGAACTCTTTTTACTTATTCACGGGACAAAAAATGTCCCTTAAATGTCAAATTTTAACACTTTATTAACAAGGGTTATTTAAATATCCACTAGGACTTTAAAACACCGTAAAAAACATTTTCAACGAGGATCTTGCTAAATCCCCGTGAAAACATGTCCCTTTATGTACCAACCATGAGGATCCTCTCATAATCCCTGTCAAAAATAGTTTCCACGCGGCAAAATAAAGAAACACCGTAAATAAGATGTCGTAAAAACCCACTTTTCTTGTAGTGTAAAATGCGTCATATTTGAACACTCATCAGTTGTCAATGAGTCACGTTGTGCAGATTATTTCTACCCATTGAACATTTCTTCATGTGATATAAATGGCCAATCAAAAAGTTGGGTTATCTCCGTAGGTGACTCCCTTGGAGCCTAGGCCTGTGTCCTAATAAGACACTTGGTCTTTTTAATTTTCTTTCTTTTCCTTCACAACCCAACTCTTGCATTTTTCTTTCTTTCCCCTCATTTTCTTTTTTTCTCTCAAATTTATTATTATTATTCTTTATTTTTTATTCTTCATTCACTCCACCACTTCCTTCTTTTTCTTTCCATCTTTTTTCCTCCATAAAATAATTCATCAATAATAATATCTCATCGAATGAGAGAACCCGAGTAAGCTTGTGTGATCTCCCTCAACCACACAAAATTTTAATTTTATTAAGTATGACTGGCCATGCAAGCACACCTGCTACGGCAAAGGTATGGTATATGGTTACATATTTTTTCATTAAATATATAGCTATTAAATCAAAAATAATAAAAATCATTTCTAGTGTTCAATTGGCACCAACTTGTCTTCTTCTTTAAGCTTGGCCCTGATCAGTTGATGAGCTATATATATATATATATATATACCTCCTTTTATATCAACTCAGCACTGGATGCTAATTTCATTTCATTTTCTTTATATGCTCCTTCAACTTTCAGCAGTAACCATACCAATACTAAATAGAAAAGGTTTGCTTCGAACAGAAGAGAGAAAGACTAAAATTATAACACTTGTGTCCTCCACAGCCTTTGCATTGTCAATACCTCCGTGCACTGATTGTTGACACACAAAGACAGAGATATCAAATACTAAAGTTTTATAGGAGTAATAAATAATTTTACACACAAGTAATATTGGCAAAAGAACGTATTGTGTTTCGTGGAATTTATTTTCATAACAGCCTGACAGTTATGAAACTTTTATTATACTCAATTCAAGGAAATTATCATGGCATTATCAAATAAGAATTATATAATTACAAACAGTCAAAATCTCTAACAACTATAATAATAAAAATCATATAATTATTCAATATCCATACTCAATCGATATAGTCAACACTGTCATCAATAATAAAAGTTCATTCTCTACAGAAGGCTAGTGTTTGATTGTGGAAGTAACCGTTCAGTGGGTAATTAAATGGTATTCAATAGTACTCGTAAAGTAGTACTATCAGTTTACATAATTCTTTCCACTTTCTAATTACTCTTTATGAAAAAAGATGAGATACACATGCATCACGGATCCTATATACAAGTATTCCAGACATATACCATTTATGGTAATTAATATAATACAATTATAACAGATTTACAGACATAGAAAGTTAACATACCAAACAAACATATATATATATTTTTTTCCTAAATGGAAACATACCAAGCAAGCATTTTTCATTTCTTTCTTTCTTTCTTTATTTTTATTTTTAAAAACTTGCCCAGTAATTGGACACCCACAATAGCACGAGAATTAATATGTGTAAATCAGGTTTTGACAGAAATATAACTCAAATAATATTTCTGATATGTAACCACACATAACAGCTAGCTAGCCAAATAAATAATTAAGCAGTTATTATAATAACAATTACGAGAGACATAATGGTGGCCATGTAAAAACATATCAGCCAGCTGATTTAATTGAGAGACTAAAACGGATTAATTAGTCTCCACTCATTTAAAACTTGAAACCCACCATGTCCCTTTCCTTATATATATATATATATACACACACACACACACATTTCATTCAATAACTGATACATATATATTCATTCTATAACTGATACACCTACCAAGGAAATTATTGACAAATCAACGTGTATTTAGATGTATAGGGTCAGTGGTTTGTTACTATTATAAATTTTTTATTTAAACATTGCATTTATTTATCATTCGATATATGGTTAGTTTCTAAAAACAAAAAAAAAATGCACATTAATTAAAGTAACTCATGATACAGAAACAAATTCAAACATAATAATATGAATAAATAGATTCAGACATAATATTACTTTTCAGAATCAAATCACGATGATTGGGAAATAATTGCAAACCCACTGAAACAATTTTAATTGTAAGCAAGAAAACAATTACTCTAACATTAGTAATTTTAACAGTCAATCAATTCAGGCACTATTCGTAGTAGAGCAGGTATTTTTAACGGTTTCCAAAAATTCTAAAAACTATTTTCGTTTTAGACCTAAAATCAATTTTCGCAAGTAAAACTTATACAATCTTTTGTACTATGACTTTGGATAGGAAGTATATTAGCTTTAGACTGTTGTGGAAATTTTACGTATTTATAGAAATATATAAAGTACAATATTCATACACAATGATTCAAGATAATGAACAACACCACCAATGAATAATCAAGCTAGTACCAATTCTTTCATTAAACTGAATAATACATCATTTGAATAATATGAATAAAATAATGAACATGAATTTAATAAGATAAATAATTCAATGATATAATATTAATATTAGCTCAATAATATAAATTAAGAAGTAAAAAGATAAATAGGTAAGAAAGTGCTGGCCTAATTGTTGAGGCATGTGTAAACATATTGACCTAAAACTGATAGTCCTTCCTTTCGTGCGGGTATTAGTGAAACTAGTCAGCTTCAAGATACAACCCAATCAGTTCGCAGTGGAGGTCCAAGTCTATATAAGTCTAGTTGCTCATAAACTCAATATTCAAATAACTCTAAAGGAAAATATAGAATAGGCTCACAACCTTACAAAAGTGTCACTCTATGTTTTTACCATCTACATCAAAATCATTCTATAGATGCTTTATATATAAAGTATATATATAGGGAGTAGAATATGTAACCGCTAAGGTATACTAATGATAAAAATTATAATTGAAATAATATAAACCATAAGTATAATTTAATTAGTGGAATAAAATCCCATTAAACCATAATTAATATAATTTAATTATTTTTTTTTATTAAAATATCCCAACAGATTTTATTCCTTGATATTGGCATATAGAAGTAATGAACCATAGCCGTAGAAAATTCAACTATCAACTTGTTGAAAAATTGCCATTTGTATTTCTCTATGTAATCCACTAACTTCTTTCCGGCACTGTCTCCAAGTTGGTCAAGAAGGACACTTCTTTCTATTTTTATCTATCCATCCTTGTATACATCATTAAAAATTTTCAAAGCATCCTCATCGTAAAAGTGTTCTTGAGTGAAATTGACCTTCTTGGTCTAAAAAATAGATAGATACCCAGCTGGTACCTCTTGTGGAGGTGCATTAGGACCATAGGATGAGTAGGAGCAATGGGAGGAACATTAGGACCCATTTGTGGTTCCCAGATATCAATTTCGGTTCTGACGCCCTTCGGAGGCCTTTTGGTATCAATTTTTTTGCCCTTTGCCTTCTTCGACAACCTGGGAGCCATTTTGATTCGCAAACTTTCTCAATTTGAAGCACCTAAATTCGTTGAGTAATTCTGTCACTTGGTATGCAACCCAAAATTGTTTCTTACAAAAAGAGAGATTTAATCCTTTAAATCCCCAAAAAGCTTTCAAAAAGCAATAGACAAACCCAAAACCTTAACAAGCAAACCCAAAAGCCTTCAAATTTGTTACTACACTGAGCTTTTAACACACACTTAACCAAAACCTCAAAATAGCTCAATCCCAACCTCCAAAATTTAAACCCAACTTCCAAACTCCCTTTAACAATGTCAATATGAAATCATGAAGATAAAAAGCATAAGATTTAGAAGAGTAATATGATGATTACCTCACAAACATGTATATGTAATGTTGTATGAAGATGGATGCAAGATGGAGAGAGAGAAGAGCAAAAACTTGTGGCCAAAGTGGGTTTAAAATGACCTAAGCGCGCGCACAGAGTGAAACTTAAGTGCCCAGTTTCGGGTCTTGAACTAGTTCAGGGGGTCTTAAACCGGTTCAAGTCTGGCATGTCAAAATTCAATTGTCACCTTATGCACTTGAACCGGTTCAAGTGAGGTTGAA